CATACAGCAAAGCACACAGATCTTGGTTGTATGGCTCAATGAGTTTTTACATATGTAACCACCACCTGGATCAAAAATAAAATATATCCAGCTCTCCAGAAGGGCCCTTGTGCCCTTTCCTGGTTAATAATCCCTCCACCAGAGGTAATTACCATTCTGACTTCTATTATCATTGATACATTTTGCCAGGTTTTGAACTTCCTATCAGTGGAATCATTCAGAACATACTCTTTCAACTCTGGCTCCTTTCATTCAACATAATGTCTATCAGATTAGTACACAGTGCGTTTATCAGAAGTTTGTATTTTTTAATGGCTGTATAACATTTTATTAACCCATTCTATTGATGGAAATTTCTTGTTTACATTTGTGTCATTTATTGCTGTATTTCCTCTTGGCTCCAAATTCACTCTTTTTTGACTACTCTGTGAAAATGGCTCTGGGCCCAAGGTGACTTCTCTGCTGTCAGTGGGCCAGGCTGTCATGGAGGTATGCATCTCAGGCCTGGGTTGGGGGACTTTCCTTGAGCTTTCATCTTAAGCTAGAGGCAGGGCTGCTCCTTATTCCGGCTGTTCCTGTGTTCTGAGAGATCTCTTTACTTCCTGCTAATCGCTCATCACTCAGATCCCTGGTTAGAAGAACAATTCTTTATGTTAAACTTTCCCTTTGAATTACTGTGTGGCTTCTCTCTCTTGATCAGACCCAGATGGAGAGCACAGTTTTTGGTTATTATGGGCAGCAATGTGCTCTGCACGTACTTGATCACACCCCATTTCTGTTGGGTATGAGCTCAGGTGTGGTTTGCCGGGTCAGAGCATATAGCTTTCCCTGCAGTAGATGCTGCCAAATAGATACGGCTTTCCAACATCCTACTTCCTTTTAGTCATCTCCATGGGTGGCAGTGGTCCTTCATTGTGGTTTTATTTGCATTTCCCTGATGACTAATGATGTCCTTTCTTGGGTTTTGGCCATTTGGGATATCTTCTTTTGTGAAATATCTGTTCACAGTTCATTTTTTAAGATTGTGGGTTTTTTGCTTTGTTTTGTTTTTGTGCTTTGTTGATACATAGCAGTTCTTGATATATTCTGGGTAATAGTCCTTTGTCAGATATATGTATGGCACATATGTTCTCCCTTTCTGTGGCTTGTTTTTGAAGTCTTTCCATGGCATTTTTTTTTAAGATTTTATTTATTTATTTGACAGAGACACAGCGAGAGAGGGAACACAAGCAGGGGGAGCAGGAGAGGGAGAAGCAGATTCCCCGCGGAGCAGGGAGCCTGATGCGGGGCTCAATCCCAGGACCCCGGACCATGACCTGAGCCAAAGGCAGACGCCCAACGACTGAGCCACCCTGGCGCCCCATCGATGGCGTTTTGTGAAGTTCCATTCATCATCCTTTTCTTCAGATCCAGGAGGTCCTCCCCTGCCCCCGCCCCTCAGCCCCGTTAAACTTCACTTTGCAGACTTACTCTTTGGCTTTCCAGCCCTTGGGGATATGGACTTCCAATCCCTTTGTCATCAAGCCCTGTAGCCTTAGAGCAAGAGTCCTACCCACCTGGCCTGGGCAGGGACCCTCTGTTTGACGGAGTTAAGACATTGACTTCGGGGCTCCCCATAGACAGCCTTTCCCTGCCCTAAAGCCCTTAGCTGTGTGCTGTTACTTACTTGTTCCACTGTAATTCAAACATGCCCAGTGTCTAACCTATGCACAGCCCCCTCGGGTATTAGGTGGACATACCCCTGGCTCTCCGGGTGCTCTGGCCCAGAGGGGGCACAGTGACCCTAGCCTGGAGCTGAAGTGCCACCTGCAGAGGGGCCTGGGGAGGGCAGGAAGCAGAGGAGAAGGGAGGGAGGGGCCTGCAACCTTCTGGCTTGCCTCGATCTATAATTCATGCACAGTACTTATCTACTCCAGTTCCGAGGCTCTGTATCTGTATCTGTATTGCTCGTAGGTTGAAAGAGCAAAGCCTGGTGTCCAGAATCTGCTAAATAAACTGTTGTTCCATACTGACTGGATGGCCAGGCTATACAGACTGGCTGGCCCAGTGTGTTTTGAAGGTGGGGCTTCCATAGCAGACATAGTTGCCTGTTTATGACTCTGTCCATGGAGATGCTTTATGCTAAGGGCTCCTGCCTCTAGCCAGACTGTGAGGGACAGAACCTGGGGGATACATACGTCCTTTTCTAGAAACATACTCTGCCAGGCTCTGTTCCTTATTGATGCTATGTGCCCTCCCCAAATCCCCTTCAATGGGTCCTTTTGGCACAACATATATAATCAATCAAAGGTGTAAATGGGGATATGAGGTGTAACTTCTTGGTCACACCACTGGAGGTAGGGAGTGTGTTCCAATTGCACATGAAAATAAATGACCTCAGGGAGTGTTGGCCAGTCAGGCCATGCCTCTTGCTTGCTCTGCCTCATGGGTGCCATTTGGGGTCCAGCGAGAGACCAGTGCAGTAAGTGAGCTGAGCATCCATCCCAGGGGATTCAGATCCCTGTGAAGGATCCTGAAACATATAGGGGAATGATATTTTAAGGTTTACTAATGAGGCAACCCACTGAAGAAGAGCAAACTTATCTGGGAAAGGAAGCAAAATAGAGAAATATCATCATCTTTCTCTTGATTTGGTTTTTATGTTTCATTTTAAAATGTGTTGTGGGGGAAAATGCAATTCGGTTCCCCTTACTGCTTTCCTCAGCCAGAATAAACTACACATCTTACCCCTGTAAATCACTATTCTCACAAAGAAGAGGGGCACCTGGCTCAGTCAGTTAAGCGTCTGTCTCTGGCTCAGGTCATAATCTCGGGGTCCTGGGGTCGAGCCCCGCATTGGGCTCCCTGCTCAGTGGGGAGCCTGCTTCTCCCTCTCCCTCTGCTACTCCCCCTGCTTGTGCTCTCTCGCTCTCTCTGTCAAATTAATGAATAAATAAATAAAATCCTTAAAAAAAAAGAACAACAACCAAAGTATTCTCACAAAGAAAAGAAAAAAAGGAAACAGAATTCTCAGCATCCGGTCAGCCATGGCTCAGACACACTCTTGCTACCCATTTGCCTCCCACAGTGATTTCTCTGAACTGGGTGGGGGTTCCAGCTGGACAAGACCTCCGTGGGGGCCATGAAGGACAGGAGCCAGACTAAGTTGGCCTCCAGGGAGTTAGCTAGTTCTGGAAGTTTCCATCATTGTTCCATAGCTTTTATGGTAAAGCATTTGGAACAGAATTTTAACTGGATGAAATTTCAAGGTCTGACTTTACCATCAAAATAAGTGACCCTTTTCTTCCTTGCCCTTGGTTGGTTTTTGTCTTGCTGGCCCCTCTGAGCTCCCCGCCCCCAGGATGACATTTTGAAGACAGGGACACTGAGTTGAGAACTGACGGATCTCTTACCTGTGTCAAATTCTATAAGACTGTTATGTAGGAAGGTCAATTATTAGTATGAGACGTTGGACTGAAGCTGACTTATGGGTCCACCAGGTCCCCTTCCAGAGCTCTGGGTGTTGTCCTAGCGCATCAGGCCTGACAGGTTTCTTGGATATTTGCTGCTGTTATTGTCAACAGGTGCACCGTGTGGTGGCATCTCTTGATCGCACCCACTTTGCAGAAGAGAAAAACGGGGCTGCAGTGGGGCCCAAATGCTCCTCAAGGTCACCTGGGTAGGTGGTGACGTGGGTCTGCAAAACCCTGGCATGGCCAATGGTGAGGAGCTTGGCTGATTTGAATGGTGTTATTCTTTTTGTTTTTTCCTTATAGTGACTCTTGAGGAAGAGAATCATCATTTTGGGTAAACGCAGTGAGTCCAGAACTGGACAGTGCCCAACGGCATTCACTGACAGCTCTTCGGCAAGTTTCCTCTTGGAATCCACCCTGGGGTTTAGCTTTCAAACCAGAGGGTCATCAGAGAGCCAGGAAAAAGTGAGTTACTTGCTTTCTAAATGTTATAACATTAACATGAGTGGTCCTGGATTTGCTGAGAATGACAGAGGTGTGTGGGCACAAGAAGAAAGAATCAGGAGATTTAAAGAAGTAACCCCCCCAAATAAAATAAGCACTGCTAGGAGGGATGGAATTCCAAGGTACTTACAGTATTCCTGCCTTATCTGAGGTTTTGTGTTCTGAGGTTTCAGTTACCCGTGGTCCACCGCGGTCCAGAAGCAGATGGTCTCCATTCTGACCTATTGTCAGAAGGTCAGTAGTAGCCCAACGCGACGTCACACGCCTGTGCCACCCACCTCACCTCATCTCATCACGTGGGCATCTTATCATCTCCCATCATCACAAGAAGGGTGAGTATAGCGCAGTGAGACCCCATTCATATAACTTTCATTACAGTTGTTATAGTTGCTCTATTTTATTATTAGTTATTGTTGTGAATCACTTATTGTGCCAGATTTAAAAACTAGAAGTTATAGGAACGTATGTAGGGGAGAAAACAACATATATAGGGTTTGGTACTATGCTTGGCTTCGGGCAGCTGCTGGGGATCTTGGAAGCTATTCCCACAAATAAAGGGGGATGAATGTAGTTGTGCAGATCCGAACATTGGTCTTTCTTCTTTCTGGGTGTGATAAAATGGTGCTTGGTTTGATCAGAGAAGAGGGCAGATGGTTCATGCATTTAGATCTAGAACACGTGGTTTCCAGTCTTGCAGGTTCTCTAGTTGGACTTCATTATGGAGTCAGGGATGGGCAGAGCTGGAAGGACCTAGTGGGAGATCTGGTCCCGTATTTTAGGGGGGGAATCTGAGACTCCCACGGGTGAAGGGCAGGCTGGCCTGGAGCCCTGCGCTCCGATCGCACACCGTGCAGTGAATGTTGCTATTGGGCGTCCATGCTCACCTTTGGATAACAGCTCTCCAGCTCTGTGTGCCATGAGACCCCAGAGTCTCTGGAACATGAGCCGTGAGACGTGGGTGTCTTCCCCCATCTCTGCGTCCCAGGGCAAAGCTAAACATGCTCCTTCTTTTGAGGTCTGACCACTGCACTTTGTTCCTTTCAGATGGCTTACATGAAGATGCACTTGATGTACATTTCCCTGGTGGTCCTGGGAGCCCTCTGTTTGTATTTTAGCATCTACAGCCTGACTCCTTTTAAAGACGAGCCATTTGTTTTCAAGAAAGAAAGGGGGAACTTCCTTCAGCTTCCAGATATCAACTGCAGGCAGGATCCCCCCTTCCTTGTCCTGCTGGTGACCTCCTCCCACGAACAGATGTTTGCTCGCACGGTCATCCGGAACACGTGGGGGAAAGAAAAGAATGTGAACGGAAGACTCATAAAAACCTTCTTCCTTCTGGGAGCCACATCCAGTAAGGACCTGTCGAAAGTGGTGGTGCAGGAAAGCCAGCGGCATCATGACATCATCCAGAAGGACTTCATGGACGCCTACTTCAACTTGACCCTGAAGACCATGATGGGTATCGAGTGGATCCACCGCTTCTGTCCTCAGGCAGCTTTCGTGATGAAAACGGACTCGGACATGTTTGTCAACATCTACTACCTGACCGAGCTGCTCCTCAAGAAAAACAGAACCACTCGGTTTTTTACCGGCTTCTTAAAACTGAACGAATTTCCGATTAGGGACAAGCACAACAAGTGGTTTGTCAGTAAATACGAATATCCGTGGGAGAAGTACCCGCCCTTTTGCTCGGGCACTGGGTACGTGTTTTCCAGTGATGTGGCAAGTCAGGTGTACGATGTGTCCGACAGCGTCCCATTCATTAAGCTCGAAGACGTCTTCGTGGGGCTCTGTCTGGCAAAACTGAAAATCAGGCTGGAGGAACTCCACTCAGAGCAGACCTTTTTCCCAAACGGGTTGGCGTTTTCCACGTGTCGTTTTAAGAAGATCGTGGCCTGCCATTTCGTCAAGCCTCGCAACATGCTGAGCTATTGGCAGGCTCTGGAGAATTCTCTGGAAGAAGAGTGTCCAGCTGTCTGAGCAAGCCCAGGGGCCCATGCGGACACACTTGAGACAACCCACAGTGATAGCTTTGGAAGCTCTTCGGGTGGCATTGCTGAGGGTCATCGTGGGGCAGGGAGGGAGGGAGGAGGGAGGAGGAAGAGGCAGGCAAGGGTGCTGTCTTCTAGTGCTGCTTGTCTAACTGAGTTCATAAGCCTGAGTGAAACTGCTGGGTGCCCAAGCGATAACAGAGGCCGTCCCTTGGGTCCTACACGACTGCGCTAAGTGTCTGACGCACGCCTCCATTTTCCCATTTCCAGGATCAGTGTCTACGTGCAGCGGTGGGGGGCAACATCCCCACCTTACACACCAGGCAGCCGCAGCTTACAGAAACCCAGGGCCTTGTCCCAAGGCTCCCAGCCAACAAACCCTGGGGCAGGGGTGGAAATCCAGCCCTGTGAGAACCCAGGTGCAGCCGCTGGCTTGGCCTGCTCCTCCGTCCTGCCTCCCTTGGCGGGGAGTGGAGGCCAGGGGGACTCGGAGGCAAGCCTGGTGGTGGCATCCTTCAGTCCCTTTCAGGAGTCCCTTCCACTTCAAGTCTCAGTCCTTGAGCTTTTAGTGCTGTCCCTGGGGTGAAGCAGCACGCCCCCAGCGCCCTCATTCACTGCAGTGGATTGAGCGGGGACACCGAGTCCCTGTGAGCAGCTCGGCATTCAGCTCACAGCAGAGCAAGCACATCCCCGGCCGTTGCCCCTGAGAAATGGCCTTCTCTAGACAGAAAACCGTGTTTATAGATTCGGCTTCGAAACAACTGCAAAGACTGGCCTGTCGAGCGGACCTCTTGGCCACGCTGCCAGGATCCCCAAGGGCACGGCATGAGCTCCCTGAAATGAGCTTTGGTCAAGGGGGGGGGCTGTCTTCCTGTGCCTGCTTCCCACGCCTGGCCCAGGCTCATCTTCTTGGAATTTCTCAGACGGCCAGGGAACAACTGAGTTTGTGGAGTGGAGATTAACCTTCCATTTCCTTCCGCTTGGAGGTTTGTAGGAGCCTGTTCTGCAGGCTGTGGAGGCAAGGCCCTGCTGGGCAGGGGTCTTCACCTGTTCAGCGGCTATGGGATTACATGCTAAGCCACCCTGCTCCTGGTCGTAGGAATGGTTCGTACTTGTTTTTTACTTTACCTGACGTGACTTTACCAGCACTCAAAGTGAAGGCCTCACATGGCTGGGTAACCCACAGAAGCCGGACCACGCTCCTACCTGAGCCCAGGAGGAGGTATCTGCTGCAAAATGGCTGTGGCAACATTAACCTGAACAGCGTTTCTCCTATCCACTGCTTCTCTGCAGACGTGTTTCCTTATCCTGGCTGCTCTGCACATGCTGGGCCATGTTCAGGAAACCGTCCTTCCCAGGTGGGACAGTCAGGGACTGAGCTTACTGTTTGAAGCCCAGATTTTGTCGGAGCCTTGGTCCTGCAGGAGGGCTGCCCCCAATTCGGAAGATAACGGTGGGTGGGGGGTGTTGAGGGTGAAGGAGCTCCCCCGGCAGCAGGGCTGGGTCTGTGCCTACGTGTCCACCCTCGGTGGGGTGTGTGTCTCTGTAGCCACTGTAATCCGAGCCGGGGTCTTGGGCCCAACAACGATAGAAGTGAGGTGGGACCCAATAGTCAAAGGCACAGGCAGCACTGTATTGGAGAAAGCTCCTACTTTCTCCAGTGTTCCCACACTCCTGTCCCTTATGCTACTAAGGGATGGAAAAGTGCCTTGTCCTGATTGGCTGATGTTGGCAGGCAACCCAGCAGCTCATTGGTGTTTTTGGAGCCACGGTCTTCCAGGTTGGTGGAGGCTCCTTTTGTCTCTGCCTCAACAGGACATGGCCCCGGCTGTTGTTTGAAGTCCGGCCGGTGTGGGGTCGGACCCTGGTTCTGCTCTGTGAGAAGATCAGTTCAGGAAGAACAGCCGACCGGAAGTGCCCCAGGTGCATAATATTTTTCATTTGGGGCTTGTTCCTGTGGTTCCTGACTGTCTCATGGCCCTCGGAGAGATTTCATCCACCTGATGTTTACAGGGGAACGTGGATGGAGGTCTCATCTCCTGTGTCTGTATCCTGCTTATCAAGGGTGTAGATGCTGCCTCTCGTTGGAGGTCATGGCAATGTCCTGCTCTCTGCTTTAATTCTGACATGAGAACGTGGTCCCCAGTAGGTGTGGGCTGAATCCCCGTGCGAGCATCAGCTGGATATGGGACTGTTGGAGTTTAGGGGACATGAATTTGACAAGTAAATTAAAGAAGGATGGCCCAAATAGAAACAGCATTAAAATGGTCACTAAGGGCGCGAGGAAAGGCAAGAACCAGGTAACACTTGGCAGGTACCCCTTAACGGAGTCCCAGATGGTTTGACCATGGGGGCCTTAAAATTATGGAGCCAGGAGGCCTGTTGGGGGATGATGTCATCCCTTTGTTCTACCTCTCCAGAAACATGAATGTGGAATCAACAAGATGGATTTGCAATAGCATATACTCGCCCTGGGTCAGCCAGTAGATAGTCTAAGGCTAGTTGGTGATCTAAAACCATGGAAGCCAGAGTCTAAGAATCTTAGATAAGCTTAAACTGTCCGGTTTCAGCCACCACTGTGGACACAGGGGCTTCTGTGTGGCAGTGTTGTACGTTATTCCCCGGCTGGTCCATCACGGATTCCACTCAGGTGACTCTGAGCATTCAGCTGTCCTCTGGCTCCCCTGGACCTCCGTGGTGGTGATAGCTGAGTGTTAGACGGGTTATTGAGGAATATTTGAATATTTTCAGGGGACGGTGCAGCATGTCCCACAGTTGCCGCTAGTCTTATTGGTATCAAGACATTGAACTGGTGTCCTCCTTCCCATCTGACATTCTTAGGAAGACCATTCCTTCAGCTAGACCCAGGCGCCCTGGGGAGGGGGCTGGGCACTGAGGGGGTGAGCAGTTGTGGGGCATCCACAAGGAGTGTTTGTCATCATCCAGGTCTCCATCATCAGCGGTGCCATATACTTGTGGCCCCGTGTGACAGTCTGGGTAACTTGACACCAAGGCCATATCTCCTCGATCATATGCCATGTTTGAGTTGTGGGGGGGGGTATTGCTGCATATAAAGGGGGGCAGAGCTGAGAGGTGGGGTTTGCCGCATCTTTTGGTGGGCAGCTGCATAAAATGGTACTAAGTATGCGGGCTCATTTGGCAGTCAGATTACAGGTGGAGGGCTCACAAAGATCACAAGAGGGGTCATGTAGTATACCAGTGATGGCTGATCGACGAAAACATGTTGTTGTAATCAGGTCAGTGGGTGTTGGGTGGATGCGAAGGACTGGGCTTGTGTAAGGTTTATTGGCTCTGTAAATGGGGTGGGCTTGGCCCTGGGACCACTCTGCAAGCTTGCCTCACGGAACATCTTTATGTGCTTCTCCATGGACTTGCTCATGACATACCCAGCGGTCTGATTAAGTTTCTAGTGCAGTCTGAGACAATGTTTTTAGTAATTTGGAGCAAAGAATTTTCTTCCCCTTTCCCCACATTTTGCTTACACCCTATTATGATCAGGGAAGACATAAGCACCAGGACAAGAAGGGGTATGGTTAGTTTTATTTTTTTCTTCACCTAGCAAGGACAAACGAGGTGTGAAAGGACAAGAGAACAGACCCAGAGCCACCCCAGGAAACGTTAGACTAAACTGGATCGCTTACCCAGCAGGGGCAAACTAGGTGTTTTCCAGGGAGTGGTGCTGCTTGAAGCAGCAAGCATATGGGAGACACAGATGCAAGAAAAGAAGGTGATGGGGACGATGATCCACCACATTCCTTACCTGTTTGCAGTGATGAGTTTTTTTTAAAGATTTATTTATTTGAGAGAAAGAGAGAGAGCAAGCAGGCAGATGAACACGGGAGGGAGAGAGAGAGAGAATCCCAAGCAGACTTTGCACAGAGCACGGAACCCTATGCCAGGCTCGATCTCACGACCCTGAGATCATGACCTGAGCTGAAATCAAGAGTTGGACGCTCAACCGACTGCACGACGCAGGCGCCCAATGACTGTCTTTTGAATTTCAGAGCTTCAGTTGGTTCACAAGTGTAGGTGTGGTTGGCCGGTGGGTCCTGAAGAAGTCCGGGGTGGCGGGGGAGGGCAAGTTTAATCTTGATGAGCTGGACCCAGCTGGGTACTCCTTCCAGCCCTATGGCGGTGGGAGCGGCCAGAAATCCCCAGTAGGGTCCTTTCCATTTGGGTTGGAGTCGGTACCTTGGTGATCCCTCTTTCCATGTCATAAGTGCTGCTTATTCCCCAGGCCCAACCTTTGGAAGGACAGAGGGATCCGGGTGGGGTCTGGCAGGATTTTATTGCCACATTGCTTTAGGGCCTGTTACGTCCTGATTCGGTTCTCCTGGCGGCAAACGATGCCCTGCTGTCGCTCTGAAGGGACTTGGGCAGCCCCAGATCTTGGAATGATTTCTTTTAAAAGACATTTGCACACCTCAGTAGCCTTTTCTGTCCTCGAACAGAAAGCCTCTATCCAACTGGTAAAAACATTTCCAGACCCAAGAAGATACTGACAACCAGCCTTTGGAGGCATCTGAGTAAAATCAGTGCCCGAGCCCTCAGAGCCTGCCTGTCGGGCTCCAGCTGTGTTCCTGACACCACCTTGCCTGACCACGAGGGGAAGAAGCTCTGTGACAGCAGGAACTGGGAGGCAAAGCGATGCTTTTCTCATGACAGCCAACGTTAGTTCTGCACTGGGACCTGCAGGAGCCAGGCTGGTTGGTGGCTTCACCCTTGGGTGTCCAGGGGGGAATGACTGATGGTGAACCCTGTTTCCTGGGTGCTGAGATGAGCACGCTACATGCGTTACATCCTTAAATGCTCGAAGCAGCTCTACGGGGGAGGGGGTGCCTGCCATGGCCCCGCTTTGCAGGTGAGGAAGCCCAGGTGGCAAGAGGGAAGGATTAACTTGCTCAAGGTTGCTGGCACAGCTGAGAAGTTGCATGTTTAGGGGGCGACCCCCCTGGGTGGGCCTCCCAG